GAGCCACCGTTGTTTTATGTGTACGTTTAGACTGACATGCGATCCGCGTAATCAAGTGAGTAGTAGACATCAAGACATGGTATCTTTAGCCGCATAACGTTTCTCGGAACTACGGACAATATGTGTAATACGCTGTTTGTAAAGTATATTTAACGATGTAATGCAGATTGCTACCTCATTTTTAATTCGGCATACGGAAGTATTGCCTTTGGGGCCTGGTAGTATAACACTGTGTTTAAGGTGTGTATATAAATATATACATACATACATATGTTTTTTACACCGTAAAACACAGAAATCGTATTTACATTACAGCAAACGGTGTCATGGATTCACAGTTTATCCAGTTCGGTACGTCAGATCTGCTGATAAAGATGACTCCATAAAGGGCCATGTGAATTTTAACAAAGGGGCTCAATCCGTTTATAACTAAATAAAGGAGTGCCCAATCCTCAGAGTTGAGCATAAACGTTTATTTGCTCGACTTTTATATGTAATTGTTTTCTAAAACGTTTGTAAAGGATAGAAGAAGAAAAACTTATATTTATTTGACTTGCTCTTGTGTAAATTTTAAACGGACACGCTATAGGAAAACTGTTCGAAAATTCCGAACTCCGAACAGTCGAACACACACCTGAAGCTACAGTCATAAGGCCACCACCACGAAATAGACGTTGAACGTAAACATATTTATTCGAAGTTTATACGTTCCAACGCAGAGCGTATTGAGGTTAGTGTAAATGTCCAAGCAGAATATTGTATGCATTGCTACAAGTGCATTTCCAGTACTTTATACTAATAAAGTACAAAGATATATCTTTACTTCACACACACATATATATATATATAGTCTTCTTGGTTTGTATCTCTGTACAAATATACGCAGAAAAACCCTTCGGGTCGACACAGACAACAGGCTTAGGTTGTTCAGTTTCTAACAAGGAGTGCCTCCCCATATCAGTACTAAGTCAGGTCAGCAGACCCCGGAACAGTTCCAGCCCAATCACAAAACACTACACTCTCTCAAGACCTCCATAGGTGCTACTATACTAGTGCCTTCATTTATTTAAACACTACCCCCTCTAGACACACCAGCAGAATCGTCATTATGCCCGACGCAGCCAAGCAATCTCCCGCTCCGGCGAGTAAGGCGCGAGATCAGGCTCAACTCGATCTCATGGTATGTCCTGCGTGTATATCGTATGCATACGTATTTTAAGTACGTATTTTAAGTATTATAGCTAGATAGTTCTAATATATATTTATAATAGAACCATCCCACAATTAGCATTATAACTAGATATTACGTTTCACTTTACACTACATTGTATTTATAAATATACTGTTGGGATATGCTCATATGTACCATTCAAGCGCGCAATTGAACTAATGAATCTGGCGTGCAAGGTACATATACACTGGGTTGTTATGCACAAGTGCATCTAGTATAAATAAATCTCGTATCAAGCTTCTATCCACAAATGAACCTATCATAAACATATCTCGTATCAATGGCATATCTAAAAACATGTACTTGTCTATTCCACTACACTCACAGGCACACAAATATGGTGTCTTTGCCAGTACGCATTTGTGTGCACACGGAGCAGTATTCGAATGAACCTTTGAACATATTGATGTACAAAAAAAATTGTGATATAGCGTTTGTTCCAACTCGTATTTTCAAAGAAATCGAACTTTCGCAGACTTTGTAAAATAATAGGTGCCTTAGATCTAATCTCGATGGTTTTATGCGTATACTTCTGAGGGACAACTTGATTTGAATTCGAACGATAATATATATATATATATGTATATATATATATATATATATATATATATATATATATATATATATATATATATATATATATATACTATATATATATATATACTATATATATATATATATATATATATATATATATATATATATATATATAATATATATATATATATGTGTGTGTGTGT